TGGGTCTCGACATTTTGAAAATATAATTGTTCCTCTCAGCTTTAGGTATCTCTGAAGCCAGGCTCGTAGGAAGCAATTTCAGTTGGTAGGTAGGGGGGTGCAGACCCATACATTTTCAGTTGAGGAGGCACTATCAACCACCAAAATTCCCTGACAATTAATTAATCAAGCATAAAAAGGTCATCTGTCGTTGTTTTTTTTGAGGGGGCACAATCATATATCTAGCGATATATTTTCTATCTAAATAGCGACAAAATTATGGGGAGGGGGTGTGGTAGCTCAATGAGTACAATTTTTGAATCAAAAATTAATTCTTCGGCTGTTTGCAGTTCATCATGCACATATAAGTTTTTACGTCCTCTTATATCAACTAGTCATTTGTTTTCCGTATGATTTTATTGCTGTTGTTTTTACATTAATTGTCGGATGCAAACAAACTCAAAAAATTCCTAGCTTTTCTACTTTTTTGGGGGGTGGGTGGGGTTTGAAATATTTTAAGGCATAGTAAAACGTTACGTAATAGGGTATTTTTAAATTTACACGGTCCCGAACCAGAATAATCAGCTTTATGTCACGTGATTCGGTAATGGAGAAAATGATCCGGTAAAGGAGAAAACATCATTAGTACAAGTACAGCGATAATTTTTTATTTAATCAGTGGTTATTGGGGAAATATATATGATGTTATAAGTAAAACATAGTACCACCAAACAATGTTGTAAAATGAATTTAACTCAAACTCAGGTACGAAATATCCAAGCAAATTTACTAAGTGATTCGATAACGGCAACCTCACTGTAACTGTTTTTAAAAACGAAAGTTAACTTAATCCTCAAGCTAGCTGCATACTTACATGTATACATGTAATTACATTTATCGACTATATTATTTTTTGTTGTTCGAGCCCGGAGTAATCAGTACTCTATAGATATAAATAAAGGACGGGCGATAAAGGAATTACAGATGTTTATATTTTTTATAATGTAAAATATACCCTCTTATCACCAAGGTTCTAAGTAGACCTCTCCTTAGAAATTATTTGTACTAGGAGCCAAAGAACCTCTGGCTTACCAGGTACATGTAGGACCTATAAACAAATCTAACAATTTTCCGCCGTCGCTTACGATTGTTAGCTTTAAAGAAACCGGATGTATATTTAACATTGGGCTCAATATTTAAGAGGTAAGTGATAAAGTTAATAAATAAATCGAAACTGGTGGGAATCCAGCGAATAGTTGAATATAGGCCTAAAAATTCATTTTTTTGACGCAATGGCCGCTACGCCCATTGACACAGTGACTGTTTTTGATTGTCCAATTTGTTTAGAAAAGTTATCAATTCCGAAGTATCTTCCTTGTCTTCATACATTTTGTAAGTTGTGCATACAGACATTTATCGAAAAGTTTAAAAAGAAGTCCAGCTTTCCATGTCCTGTGTGTCGACTTGAAGTCTCAACTCCGGAAGCAAACATTACTTCTGAGGAATGGGCCTGTAAATTACCGCTAAATCACCTTCTATTATCACTCCAAGATGCTTTAGAGAAATCGAATTCTCAAGGAGATGTTTTATGTGAACCTTGCAAACGTGCTAGTGAAAAAAAGAATGCCAAGTTTTACTGTAGAGATTGCATGGACAGTTTGTGTGAAAATTGTTTGACCTACCATCATAGAAGAATTCGTCATTATAAAAGTCACAAAGTTACGGATATTTCAAAATATCCACAAGAGGTTATGACAAAGGAGTTAATTGTGGAAGAGCCGTGCATGATTCATAAAAATAAAGTCCTAGAAGTGTACTGCTTTGACCATGAAACTCTTTGTTGTAGCGTCTGCTTTGCAACATTACACAGAAAATGCGATGAAGTACAATCGCTTGAAGAAGTTGTCGAAAAAATGGGAGAAAATATACATCCAGCAAATATTAATTCCGCACTAGCTTCAATTAAAGCAAAGGCAGATACAGAAATCAACAAAACAAAGAATAACTTCAAACAACTTGAACATAAACACGCACAAATTGTAGAAACAGTTGTGGCTCATGTTGAAGAAGCAAAACTTAAGTTAGAAACACTGAAAAACACTTTCATTAAAGACTTTCAAATAATGCACGACAATGAAAAAAGTCTTTTATCAAATACAGAGGCATTTCTAGTGGAATTTTCAAAGGCTCTTGCAAGATCCGAAAAAATACTCAGTGTTACAGTTTCCAATGGTAGTAAAAGATCATTGTTTCTGACAGTAAAGAGAATAAAGTCAGAAGTGTTCAACCATTTAGATCAACTTCGCAAACAAACTGAAAATCAAAGTATTGTAGACTATAATTGGGAGGAAAAATCAATCATAAATAAGATTCTTGCTGAAGAAAGTATTGGACATCTGCAAGTGCTTAAGTCAGAGAGAAGTATACATGCCAATTTGCAAAAAGAAATGGGTTTATTTAAAAAAGCTACCAGTTTCCAAAAGCATCAGGAGTCAAAACTTGAAAATACAGCAAATAACAGTTCAAATGTGTGGAGTTTGCCATCCCTACCACCAAATGCCTGGAGTTTGCCTCCCCAACCACCACACAAAATACAAGGGCAAGCAAAGCAAGTTGCTTTTGAAAAAGTTTTAAATACCAAACATGAGTATCCATCATCCATAATATCCGAACCAAACTTTCCATACCATTTTTTTAGTGATAATCAATTGTCACCAATGCCAAATAATTCAGGTCCAGTTGTTAATGAGCATTCAAATATATTGAACCATTTTGCTAATCCATTTACACATTCTGATAGGATTCCTCCAGTTCAACCTGTGAAAATCCATGAACCCTTCCATAACTTCAGCCCTGAAGTCTGTGATGCCAGGAAATCAAATATGACATTTACTGCACCACCTCCAGCAAAATCAGAGGGTGAAATGCCGTTCATTCAATCCCTAGATAATCTATGGGAAATGGTGAGAATGCCAAATGCAAGTAATTGTGCAGAAAAGTCTAAAACTATCAGTGAGAAAAAATTATGTAAGACATATCCTGAACCAGCACTACAGCAATCAGTGAACGAAAACAAAGTGTCATTAAATGTGTCACCTTCAAAACCTGAAGGGAATCCATTTAGCAGGGCAAAGCCTAATACAATGAAGTTGCCCTTCTCGTAAACCATACTCCCAAAATAATCAAAGGTTTGATCAGAGGGAAGAATCATAGAGCAAAAATATTAAATAAAATTTACTACTATGGTTATCTAATTTAGAGGTGGTATATCCCCTCTCAAATTTGAAAATTGATGCCTATAAACAGCACTTTCACATTCTTGTCAAATACTAGCTGCAGAATTGTAGCATTAATATACACTGTACATTAGTCTTTGACCATATGCCACAGATCGCGTAGTGAAAAAAAATGCAATTTTTGCGCATGGTTGGGGAGAATTTCTCCACTTTCAAGCATTATTTCATCAACAACCTTTCATTCCCTAATTCTAGACATATTTTATAACCTATCTATATGTCTTACATACCTCCTTACCCTTTTTAGTTGTCTCTACAGACAAATAAACTGGCTTGTTGTAAATTTACTTTAAATCAAGTTTTATTTGCGAGAACTTTATTTCCGAGTGATAATGCGAGACAATTAGCTTGGGAAAATTTCATTCTTGCATTTAAAAGTATTCCTTACGATTATATAGAGTAAAACAACAATTCATGAAAAATGTATCTCGCAAAATAATAGAAAGTCAACGACTATCTCGCGAAAATAAGGTGTCACGAAAATTTAGTGATCTACAGTATGTAATTCTACATACAAATCAAACTGAACCTAGTTTATTGCTTGTAGAGACAAGTTAAAAGGTTGGGAGGTGGATAAAAGATACAGATTGGTTATAAAATATGTCTAGAATTAGGGAATGAAAGGTAGTTGATTAACCAATGATGGAAAGTGGAGAAATTCCCCATAACTATGCACAAAAAAATCTGTGCCATAAATTGCACATTTTTTGCATTGTAGGATCTGTAGCGTTATGCTCAAAGACAAATATATAAAACAATATATGCAATGTATAAGCCAGTAAAGATACTACTATTAAACCATAACACTACAGTTTTGCAGCTAGTCAAATATATGTATGTATATATATATATATACTTTAAATATGACAATCCTAGCTCCACTAAATCAAATGTACATGTATTGGGCAAGGTTTAAGTTTTTTGCAGACAAACACACAGACAGATAGAAAGATGGGCGGACACAACAAAAACTTTATCCTTCTAAATCTTGGATTACGTGGGCATAAAAAGCAGTCAGGTGTGATGAACACAAAGGGTATATCCACAAGCAGATACTCGGAAATAAGAAAACCAATATGAAATATGCCCATTTACGAGTCAAGTTCAGTTTTTAAAAAGATTTGACAGTTTTTTGTATTGTTCAATAATATGTTAATAAAATGTATATTGATGTATTTGGACTTGTACTTTTTATGCAATCTGCTTGAATTTCCAAGGATATAAATTGTTGTTAAAATGGATCCTTGTACAACATTTTCTGTGGTAAGCATGAATTGCTATGGACTGAATGGATCAAAAAAACTAATCAAAAGGACATAATGACAGAATTCAAACAAATGTTTAACACTTATTTATTATTACTCTCAGACATCTCATTTATAATATACAGACAAAACTGTACTTTAAAATTTATACAGTTTCCCCCTTAATGCTGCCTATACACTTATACTGACGAAATAAAACACAGATGTCGATATACATTTCACAAATATGTAACAAGAAAATTTAGGTCTCCACAAAAGAAAATTTTCAATACACTACACAACTTCATCAAATGTCTAGCACTTGGCACTGAACACAATGTTAATCTGTCTCACACATTCCAGATAAACAGTTCATATGCAGGTAATATCCATTACTCAAAGTCAACAATGTTATCTTTAAGTTCCTGTTGATATTACCTTTAAAAAAATATTTTGTTTCAAACTTCCTTTTGATATTTACATCATCTTTTTCTTCCCCCTTCCTGGCCCCCTGCCCCTTCCTCTCCCCCGCCCCCGTTTGGAGGGCTTTTTGTTCCTCCCCATACACTTAGAACAGTACCAGTGTTCCTCTTCTGCAGGTTCTTCTTTAAGTCCAACACACGGCCTGCAATAAAACAAGAAATCTGTGAAAAAGTATACCATGTAAAACAGGATTAGTGTTCCATTTGAAATTTGGGCTTAATTTATTTCAGGTTAATAATTTTATATTCCATTCGTACATAAAAATATTTTCCAAAAAAAAATTAGAATTATAGCTTTCAATTACTTTCAAATCATATTCTACTTGACAAAATATTAGGAGGATCAACCAACATTAAAATTTGCCTTAAAATCCCTTCTTCTTCATTTATACATTTTAATTAAACATTCTGACTAGCTTATTCATGAATTGCCAGTTATTAAACAGGAAAATTTATAATATTTTTTTGTATGAGGTGCAGGAAAGATAACTCCTGTTTAATAAAATGACACTGACCAATGATACCAGTCGTCACAGATGTCACAACCAATCATAGGACTCCCGTCGTCCGGCATCTTACAGGCGGGGCAAATCCACACCTTCTGACCCGAATCGTCCTACAGTACATAATTAACAGATAAGTTCAAATATTAAAGAAATATCAACAAACTTTGTAAAAGTCTATTCTGAATTCTGGAAAAAATTAAATAAACGAAGTTTTAAAACATTCCGCAAACTTATTTTTTTTTTCGTCCTTTTTCAATACTAACAGATATCTGATGTGAATTATCTTTTTTTAAAAGGGGAGTAAGAAACACATGCTTTTACTATTAAGTTCATAATTTGTGACAAATTATTACTTTTCCTTACCTACAATCAGTTTTTAACAGGTTTAAAAACTTCTCCAAGAAGGAGGTAGAATAATATTCAACATTGATCATTGGCACAATTTTTTTAATTCTCATGATAATTTACTATTTATAAATACCAGGTACTAGTATAAACTTACAATGAAGGTGGTGACTGTTTCAGCGATGACTGTCCTCTGAACCCCTGGTTTGGCGAAGCTGGTGCCTGGCATGCTTGGCGGGGGCATTGGGGGGATCACCTCACTCTTAATGGTAAGGGGTACAGGAGAGAGACTTGGGGAATGGGAGGGACTCCTAGAGGTCATGTGACCAGGGGTCGATGGCTTGGTATTTGACGGGGAAACAGAGGCCCTGTATGGACTGGGCAAGGGGGAAGGTGGGGGTGAGGGCTGGGGGGAAGGGGATCGCCCTGGAGAGGGGGTCCTAACGGGGGACTGTGAGTTGGACTTAGATCTCACATAGGATGAGATGGACTCCTCTGCAGGAGACGGGGACCGGAGAGGAGAGTTGGAGGGGGAGGGGGTGAAAGTTTTGCGGGTTGAAGCAGGAGAGGGTGTAAACCTCTGCACCTCTTCTTCATCCTCTTTCATGGGCTCAGTTTCATGGTCCGAGTCAGGTTCAAAGTCAGTCTCAGGGGTAGGAGGTTTGGTGGCTGGGGTTGGAACTTTTGGTGGTGGAGGAGTGGGTGATTTTCTTGGAGGGGGTGGTGTTGGGGTTTTCCGAGGAGGAGGAGGTGTTGGGGTCTTTCTTGGTGGGGGTGTTGGGGTCTTGGTGAAAGGGGTGAACAGCCCTGGGGGTGAGGGTTTTCTGGGTGGGGGAGGAGTAGGGGATTTAGAGGAAGAGGTTGAAAAAGGAGTTTCTTGTCTGGAGATGGGAATTGGAGCAAACAGAGGTTGATCCAAGCTCTCCTGCTTGATGGGAGGAGGGTGTGTTGAGGCAGGTGGGGCTTCTTTTTTCTTCTCTTTGTCTCTTTTCTTTTCCTTCTTTCTCTCCCTTTCTCCCTGTTTTGGAGTAGATCCACCAATAGACTGAGGGGAAGCGGAGCCTCTCTCAGACAAGGGAGGCAATGCTTTTATAACTCTGAAAAGTAAATGAGATTAAATGTCACTATCATGACTATACCTCTGGTCTTTTATCTTAAAATCATTCCTATTTTTCGCAGTTTTTGTAGAGAACATTTCATCAGAAAAACAATTGTCTCGCATTGGTTTTAGACTGAAGAATCATGAATAAAGATGACGTGAAGAAAAGTTGGTTTACAGTATTATACTAAAAATCTGAGTTTTGTAGGTTTACTGTAGAATGACAGGTGTATACTTACAATTTGAGCTCTGGCCTGGGGGAGTTCTGAGCGCTGTCGTTGGGGGGAGATTTGAGGGACCCCTCAGACATGTAATTTACTGTGGTGGAGGACGGAGAACTGCCAATCCTGATCTTCAGTTTAGACACAGTGGGAATATAATCCGGCTAATGAAACGAAAAATAAATATTCTCAGGAATGTAGATTTCTGATAATTCTGTTTTTTAATTATGTACCCTCTAATATCAACCTTACTTGCAAAATATGATAAAAAGCAATTGTACACTGTAATAATTCAGCATGATTAAACAATCAAATTTAAATTAATACTTGATATATGGATTTCAGACAGAGAAATAAACTCTCATTTCAAGACAAAGTTTTAAAATTGTTTGCTAGAGATGGAAAACCATGAGTATCACTACGCCTAGCCAGATGCAAGTGTCTGTTGAAATGAAAAATTCTGTAACATATTTTTTATTTTTCATCCTATACCCTACACTGATTTTACCTCTTTATTTCTTTCTTTGTCCTTCTTTCTCTCTCTGTCTCTATCTTTATCTTTATTCTTTTTCTTCTTTTCTTTATCTCTCTTCTTTTCTTTTTTCCTCTCTTTATGTTCCTGTAACGAACAATTCTCTTTAAACCTCATCAGAAAAATTGTACATGTACATGTATGCTGTATAGAAGCAAAAAAATAAAAGGTGAAGAAAATTTACATCACTTCACTAGAGTAATGTTTAAAACTTTTCTGCAGGGCTTTCACCATCACAAAAAGTACTGTATACAGGGTTATTTTCGCCCAGCTTTATTTTTGCCCTTTCACCCTTGCATACAATTTTGCCCCACTTTAAATTTGCCAAGTCATAGTTTTAAGAAATTATACTGTATTCTCTGATTTCGCCCCTTTTTTAAATTTGCCCAGGTGAGGCTAGGGCAAAAGGGGCAAAAATAAAATGGGGGCAAAAATTTCCCTGTATACAGTATTTACAGTCTACTTTTATGTATGTTTTGAACAAGGACTGGGTTAAGGATAATAATTCTAAAAGTGCCTTGTTTACTCTTACTACTGTATGAAACACACAAACTATAACATGTATATGTGCAATCCAAATTATCGGAACAATCGGTATCTCTGACAAGGAAATTCAGAACTTTAAACATTTGAAAACTTTGCGATCAACCTTTACCTTGGATCTTTCTTTCTCTGGTTTATCTCTGCTTTTCTCCTTGACCTTCTCTCCCTCTTTATTCTCCACTTCTTTATCCACAAACTCCACACTGAACATCTTCTGTGGAGACTGAGTGACCTCCTTTTTGACTTGTTCTGGTGGTTTGGGGGGACTTTCTGGGAAGTCGTACACGTTGGGGGGTCTGGAGACCTCCTCCTCCGGGGGCTCTGCCTTGACCGTCTCGCTGACGAAATCTTTCCCTTTCAGCTTATCCTTCAGCTTGTCTTTTACCTCTTCACTCGGATGCTCTTCTTTCTGTTTTGGTGTCTTCTCCTTCTTCTTTTTCTTCTTCTGTTCAGACAAGTCAAATGATGCAGCCTCCTCCTCAATCATTTCTCTTTTCACAGTCACAGAGGGAGGGGCATCAATGCTGTCCTCAATAGCCGGATTGGTGTCCTCTTGGTTTGATTCTGACATCTCTTCTGCTATCCTCTCTGATTTAACTTCTTTCTCCTTCATTGCACCCCCTTCAGAATCTCCTTCTCTAGACATCTTCAATACAGCCTCAATACAAAGATCAATGTTCATTTCTCGGGCTCGTTTCTTCTCGGGACTTAGAGGTGGCCTTCCCCTACCTCTGGCCTTCTCCTTACTTTTACTACTGAGATCAAGAGGTAACTCCACATCAGTTGGTTTCTTCTCCACATTCTCCTTAGCAGAAGCAGCTGGTGGTGCTGGTTTCCTGGACAAGTCCAACACATCACTGGCAAACATTTCCTCCATCGTAGACAAAACAGGAATATTTTTACTCTCTTTCTTTTTCTCAGGAGTTTTAAGCAGGGTTTTGTCCTTGGGTGGCCTCCCTCGACCCCGAGGGCTACTTCCTGGCTGAGCAGGGCTTTTTCCTTGCCCTGGTGATTTTGGGGCCCTGGGAGATTTTGACCTAGATCGTGGTCGACCCACTTTCTTTTTCTTTGGAATAACTTTTGTTGATGGACTTGGGACTGGTATTTTGTCTTCTAAAGCAGGAAGAGAGGCAGATTTTGACACAGTCTCTGAGTTCGATACTTCATCCCCACCTCCCTTTTGTCGAGGAATTTTCTTACTAGTTCCATCTGGATAAATCATGATCTCCTCCACTCTCTGCTCTCTCTCTTTTCCTACTGCCTCCACTCTCTGGGATTCTCCACTGCTCTCTATCACCTTTTCTGGCCGGCTTAAGGGTGTAGAGGGTCTTGAATCCACCTTTTCTTTCCTGAAGATCTTACTAACTGAGGGCTTGTCATGGCTAGCTTTCTTAAATCCCTGGGGAGGGGTCCTGGCATCTGGCAGTTTTCCTCCCTTGGTGGGGGTCAGGTCCCCAGTGTGTGTGATTGCAATGCTCTTCATCTCATACTGAGAATGCATAGCTTCTTCAGGCAAAGCTGCATTTGTCAACCTACAAATGGAAATTTACAGTAGGAAAATATTCATTTGAGCAATAAATAACTCAAAAGCATACAAATCATAGTTCTTGTAAGATAAAAATTATGTAAAGAAACATTTAACATTCACACAATGCATCACAAAAATGTTTATTTTCTTCAAAAAACTCTATTTTGTAATATTTTTTTTATATTAAATGCTTGAAAGTATATCAATCCCTCAATTTCTTTTTTTTTTCTAAAAATGACTCCCCACCCCTAGACGAAGAAAAACACAGACATGTATAGACAGCCTCACAAGATAATTGTCAAAATACATCTAAAATGTATTGTTTACACTTACTAAGATAAATCTCATTTAAGATTTCTATAACAGTTACAGTAATAAATTGACCTTGGTCTTTTCTTTGGCAAGCCTCCCTCCAGTGGGCTAGTCATTGGTCGTTTGTCTCCCGGGACGACGAGGTTGCTTCCCTCTGTGACCTCTGCTTGACCTCCGACTCCATTCTGACCTTGATCTACCTGCATCGCTGACCCCTCTCCCTGATCGTTTGACTTCTCTGTCTCATTGTCCAACTCATCTATCAAAAATATTCATTATTCACAAAAATTCTTGCATACCAACATGTTTAAAACTTTAATTGTCTAAATTTAGTTTTTTTTTTTAAATATTAAAATGGAAATTTTTTTCTTATTTCCTAATATTCATGTTACATTTATGATCAATTTAATCTTTCATAATTACATGTAACAACTCAGTTTCTTTTTTTCATACAAAACTTATTCTTTATGAAAACTTATTGCAAAACACAATATTTAGTGTAACTGTTACTTGTTCATTATAAATGAGTTGCTAAAATATGTACATTGTATTTCAATGTTTTTAATTGAATAAAACTAATTACAGACTTGTCGAAATCCGTCGGTCCTGTCGGCAAGGCCGGTAAAAATTTGTCTGGACCGAAAACATTTAAGAAAACGTCGGTCCAGATGACCGTTTGAAAGAAATTGAGCGTAATGCAAATTTAATAAAGGTCGGGATCGGGATGCGTAATTAAAGGTCACAAACCCAGAAATAATGGCCGCGTACACAGCATGTTGACGATAGCTAAGTAAATTTGTTATAGCAAAGTCATAAACTTGTCATTTATGTCTACGTTAAAGACTCTCTATCCCAAGAAAGGAAACTTGTTAGATTGAAAGCTATTGAAAATAATAAAGTACATTTTGGTGCTGTTATTCATATGACTTTTTCACCTTCAAAATAAAGGTACAAGTATCTTGTCTGACAAAAGTTTGACTGATCCGACAGAACATTCGATTTTGTCAGACCAAATGTCTGACAGTGATTAAAAAATTTCGACAAGTCTGTAATTATACTTTATATCACATATTTTAACTTTTCTCAATACCTTCTGGGGTAGGATACAGTAGGGGCATGTAATCCTCAATGTGTTCGTCTCTGGTCTGTAACTCTTTGTGACCCGGTTTAGGAATCTGTAAATTACAGCTCTTGGGGGCAGGGAACTGGACAATTTCGTGAGGGAAGGGCGCCGGCTCCACATGGCGGACATACTCCTCCAACTCACTGATGCTGACCCCCATATGTCTGAACGCCAGCCCCACATCATCCAAGTTAGGGTCTGTTCTTCCAACTGTAAATAACACTTCATATTTATTTTGCATATAATTTTCTACCCAGAGCTAGTGGATATTTTATTGAAGTGAAATTTACAAATTAATCATCACTGGTCATACATGTACTTCAAATACATGTACATGTAATACAGAATGCAAGAATAAAGAATGGATAGGCCTTCAGGTCAAGACTTGTGTACCTTAAAATATTGTAAGTATTATTTATGCATAGAAATGTTGATTATAACAAAATTCAATAAATATCATGTCAATGAATGGTCTTTCCAAAAAATGAAAATTAAAGTGAGATACCAAATATTGGACTTCAGTCCTGATGTCCAAAAATTTGCCTTAGTTCCGTAATGTTTGCTTTGAAATACGTACACTGTTCAGAATATCTGTGAGTGACTTTAGCCAGCTGTAACATGTAGCGTCCCAGGACATCAGTAAGGAGCTCAAGGGGCGTGGACTGGGCAGAGTTCCACCCCACATTCTGACAAATCTGAGCCAGGGCTATCCTCAGAATACTCCGACAATACTGCTCTGACATCTAAATCAGAAAACACACTATTATATATTAGATTTCATTCAGGATAATAGGTAAATAACCTGCAAGCTAGTTAGATAAACTAAGTGTGTGTTGGGACAAGCCCTCGCCACAGTTAGAATAGCTCCAATATAATTGCAATATTAATGTAGCAAATCAGTGCAGATCTCCGACAAAATGATTTTGAAGAATACAAAAGGGATTGCCCTGAGAATGATGATTAATCGAAACCAACCCCTCTGAGACTGTATATGGTGTTTCATCACAAAAGTAATCCATATAAACGCGACTATTCAATTCCTCAATGTTGTTCTCACTTTTAAATTTATATGCGGCAGCATGTTTAAAATGTTTGCACTTGAAACTTTCTTGATTGTTTCAGGTAAATACACTGAGTTTAAGTTATTGCCAATTTCTATTTTGCTACAATACCAAATACGAATACTTTGATCATTATGTGGCACAAATTCTATCGTTAAACTGGGTCTTCCTGATGATAGGACAATATCATTTTAACAATAGAACATTCTATCTATCTTTCCAAGTGTAACTTGCGGAAAGTAAGCATCCTGTAATTTTTATCATTCCTGTGCGTTAAATACCTTCTTTGAAATAATGCAAAATGCCTTGCAATTAACAAAGTTTCTAAGTTTGTGCTTTGATCATTCTTACGTTTAAATTCAGAAGCCGTCTTTTTCAATTGAAAGATCACAGAAGCAAAGAAATCATCATCTTATTTCGATGAAACGTCATTACCAGTCCAAACCAAAACAGTTTCTGCTTTTAGAAAATATTGGATACACCAAGCATATACTGAGAATGCACTATTGTGCATCTCCCCATTTTGAATCTAACGGTATTGTATATTGCATAAACGTTCGTCAACTACACAGCTGCTTCTTAAATAAGCTTGTTTGCCTTTGTCTGACTCTCTGTCACCGCAAAATTAACATTTCCTTCCACTGGAGGCTATCCAACTTCCATTTTACTTGTAAAATCAATGTTAAGAAAATGTTTGAATTTTCATAATTTCCGATCCCGATGAATTTAATTTTGGTGCTAATTTTCATGCTTTTTCATTCATCCATGGCCCCAAACTATTGAGAAATGTTGGAATGAATATGAAAGATATTGAAATGATAACCTTTTTAAAATATGTAAAGTGCAGAACAAAAACGAAAGTTTACATCGAGTTTGTTATTCTAAGTTATTCAAACATTTATTTCACTAAGATGAAAAGGAATCCTGGGACATATTTTCGATGGTGACGGAAGTGTACACACGCAAGACGTGATCTTTAGGTAAGAATTGTTAAAACATCTGTATTTTTTGTTAATTGCCATTTTTCAATTTAAGTAATTATTTGTCCTTGTGATAAACATTAAAAAATTTACTGTTTTCATTTCAGGCACCAATATGACTGCATAAAAGTTGACTGGCAAGATAAATACTTTTAGTTATTGATACATATTGAGTTGAAGTAAAGAGGAACATCATGGGAATATTCGACTCTCTAGCAAAGTGGCTTGGCCTAAAGAAAAAGGAAGCCAATGTTCTTGTGGTAGGACTTGACAACAGTGGTAAAACGACCATCATTAACCAGTTAAAACCAGCAGAATCCAAGTCTTATGACATTGTTCCAACGATTGGTTTTACAGTGGAAAAATTCTCAGGAAAATCCTTGTCCTTCACTGCCTTTGATATGTCGGGTCAAGGTCGATACCGCAACCTATGGGAACATTACTACAAAGAGTGTCAGGGCATTATCTTTGTAATCGATAGCAGTGACCGCTTACGTATGGTCGTAGCACAGGAAGAATTAGAACAGTTACTTAATCATCCAGATATTGTTGGTAGACGCATTCCAATTTTGTTTTATGCCAACAAAATGGACATGAGAGATGCCTTGTCAGCTGTTAAAGTCGCACATCTTCTGAACTTAGACAAAATTAGCACAAAGCCGTGGCATATATGTGCATCAAATGCCTTAACTGGTGAAGGGTTGAGTGAAGGCGTGGAATGGATAACTGGGCAGTTGAAAGAAGTTGTAAATGCTAAATGAAGCACCATTAAACATCCATTATACTAAAATATGTGGGCATACAAGGTTGTTTATCAATAGAGAGTTGCAAAAGTTATTCTTGTTAAAAAAAAAGTACAAAAATTGTTTTAAATAATTGTACATGTTGGATGAAAATTTTCTGATAATACAATATCATTTGTTGTTTATTCAATTTTTGAGAAAAAAAGGTAGTTGGGGAGAATCACCATGCTGTTACTTTTCTTTTATTAGACCATGTAGACTACAACATATATTCCTGATACAAATAATAGATATCTGCAACTTTATATTATATGAATCTATACAACACATTGTGGGAAAATACATTTTTTGAGCATAAATTGTCTATAATATACTGAAATATATCTTTGTTGATTTGCTCTGGTTGTGAGTTAAATGTTGTCGTAATGATGTAATATATACACTGTAGAGTCGTACCTCAGTGATTATTAATATACATTTTATGTGGATGAGTTGTTAAAATGGAACGTAATGTAATGTGAACATGAGTAACCTTTCAGTGTAATGCAGAGTCTATTTAATTGAATTATTTTAGTATTCTTTTACATCTTTTACACAACAATTTTTTCAGTCCGTCCTACGATCATAATATATCAAGTTTTTTTTACCCAAAATGGGTGAAATAATTGAGGATTATATATGTATATCATATTAGCTAATATTATAAATGTAAAGTCATAGATCTAAGCTAAGTTTAATTAGGCCGTTTACATTAAAAGTAATGCACAGTGTAGTGAGTGTACCAGCAGGGATTGATATGGGGCATATTTGCTAAAAGATAATACCCCCCTCCCCCCCCCCCAAAAAAATCCCATGAATTACCATTTTCCCCTTTTAATGAGTAAACAAAAATTCCCATTACAATACTAAAAAGCTCAAAAAAAAAAATTCTTCATAAATTTTAAAATTTAAGGTAAAAATTTTTCCAGAATAATATGTTAAATGTGGTTTTACCTTGCTATTTTAAGTATTCAAAATGGGAACACCCCCCCCCCCCCCCCAGCATGACTTCCCCTGCACCTGCTAGTGTTCTAAAGTGGCCCCCAGACCTCTTGCTGAATTTGCCAGTTTCTCCAGAAAGGGTGGTTTCCTCACAAAGATAAATTAATCCCTGACCATTTTTGTTATTATTGGATTCATGATCTGTTCTTGTGTGAATTTGAATCCCTTTTTTTAGTATGAAAATTTGAAATTGATGGAACGTAAATGTAGGGTAGTTGGAATTGGTGCAGATGGTACAACTGTATGTTAATTTGCTGGAGGGAAACAGTATCTGTCAACAGTAAAAGTTATGCTTAGATGGAATGATATTTAGAAATGTGTTAAAGAGGTAGAGCCACTTTGGGCCTTATTTGGCCATGAGAATTTCTGAAAATTCAAAACTGCTCAGTTTAGGTTGCAAATGCAGTATTTATCACTTGGACTGTTGGTGATGACGTATCTATTAATTGTGATGTAATTTCACATCTAGTCAATGCATTATGACGTCATAAAATGCGTCATTTTCCTCATATCCTGTAAATTCCTTTGAAAATGACCTAAAGTGAAGCATTTTTTCAATATTTCATATAGAGCACAACCTCTGATCCAAAATATGCCAATACATAATGAAAGGCCTATTTCTGAAGATCAAAAAACATGTTTTATTTTTTGGATCGTGGGCTGTGCTCATATTTTAATACTTTGCTCAAGGTAGTCAAATAAGCATATTTTCTGCAAATTTCAAGAACATTGCAATTTCTCAAAGCCTGTTTTCAAATATTTAGATTCTCAAAACGAAATTTAATAACAGAACATGAAAGCACCAAGTGTCTACTTTATTTTGATATATGAAAATGGAAAGAGGGTGAAAGTTAATTAATTGATATAAGTACAGGGCCATTTTATGCATAAGATGGCTCTTGCTCTTTAACATTGTAAAAGTTGGCTTTTTTTTTCCTTCAAAAAAAAAACAAAAAAACAAACAAACAAACAAACAAACAAATACTAGAGTTTTAATTTTTGTTTAAAGATAACTTTTTTAGACTTACTCATAACAAAAATGGGAAGTGAAAAAAAATTATTGCTTTTGAAAAGAAAATAAGTCTGTTTTTTCATTTATTAAATAAATAATATTTGTTGATGTTACAAGAATTGAAATATATCTAATGAAAATTCACAATTTTTGTCAAACTAAAGGCTATTCATCACAGGTGAACAATTTACAATGTACAAGTTATTTCCCTTTATACGCACGTGAATAGAGACACGATAGATATGACTGCCTCTGGTATCAAACGACTTGTTTCATAATTTTATGAAAAAAAGTACTGTTGAATGCATTTACTATTTCTGAATAAATATTTATCCATATTTTACTTTTTTTTAGTTTTCTGTACGAAGTATAACCTCGGTTTCTTTATTTTATTTCATTTGAAGCAATTTCAGCTGGGTGAGGAGGCAAAACTATTCAGTTTCGGAGCGCCCATCGTCGCAAACCACGGCCAAAATGTACGATCCTCTCCCATTCTGGAGAAAGCTATATGCGGACTCCGGACCGTGGCTTGAGACGATGCGGAGCGCCATAGTTTGAACAATGATCATATTTTATTATTACAAATGGGATTGGGAAAAAGTTTTTTAAAAATTAATACACCCTTTCCCTAAAGTTTTAGGGATACTAATTAGCAACGATTACATGACCAAAAAAAAAACAGTTTTGTCTTCTGTAGTATTTTTTTGGAGTTCCTACAGCCATGATAAAGTTGTTCATTGTCAACGTTATTATATGCATTTAAATCAAAGTTAGAAGACACTTTTATTTGCATATATACTACTACTATAGTTGTTAAATTCAGCCCCCCCCCCTTTCTTGGGGTGGGTGGGTGTTTCGGGTCATATGTAACATAGACCTAAATTGAACTAATTCCCATGAAGAGTTCAAGAGTTTAACCTAGCTGTACTTAAGTTCAAAACAGACTGCATGATACCGTATCAAAAGTAATATCATGGTTCACACTAACAGATAGATGGTCACCAACATAGATAAGAGTGATAAACACCATTTTATTTCGAAATGAACCAGCTTTGGGGAATCCCACAATATTCTAGACTATTATTTGGGGAAAATGTTCAATTCCGTACACATTGGTGAAGTTTTGATTTTTTTTTTTTTTTTTTACACCTGTAGAGTTTGTAGAGTCTAACATTTGTAACTTTGAATTCGAATTGAAAGAAAATTGTGCGCTGCGATGAATGTTTCTGTTATGAATGTTGTAGATATTAAGTATAGATATGCCTTTCTTGCAGTCATCTTTGGAATAATATATTATCTACCCTCTGTCCAAGGTAATGCAGTTCTTTTTTTTTTACTGAAATTTAATGCATTTTTAAATTTGTAATAGCATTTCCTTAAAATCCGAAGTATGTTTTTCGTACAATTACACTTCACTTCAATTCCTTTTCATACTTGTATGTTTACCCCTCTCCTTATTGCTACTGAGTATTTACAAAACATGTCTGATGTGTATAATTGTTTTTCTTAGGCTTGCGTTGTCTGAAATGTTCCTCCATAACCGAGCCCCGTCTATGTACCGACCTGGAAACGTGCCAGTTGGGGGAGGTGGGTGTTTACAATTACATGCGCGGATCTAGAGGGGAGGTGGTGGTCCGGAACTACCCCCCCCCCCCCCCCCGGAAAAAGAATCTTGGATCCGTCTGTTATAATATGATGCTAATTTTGGTTTTAAAAAGTTCACAGTCATTTGTTATGTAAAAATAAGTATATATAGGGTTGCCAAACATATAGTCCCCTTACCCCACCTTCTCAATTAAATACCAAATTGAAATTGTTTCACAGACTTTGTAAGAGATGATTATAAAAACATTTTAAAAGTATGTGAATGTAAATGATTTTATAAGAAGTGGAATTCATTTTATTTAGTACCTCAATCCTTTTCATGTTCAGTGAAATACAATAAAGAAACAATATTTATGAACAACAAAACATCGGGCATAGTAATTTTCTAAGACAAACTATAATAATTTCTCTCGGCTATTTTCATTTAAGTCTAGCCAGGACAAATAATATGCATAAAGAACTCAAAAAAATTAAGCATATTTAAATTTTTTCTTCAAATTTAGATTGGTTTTATTACATTATAATTGTAGATATGTGGGGTACGACAGCTGATGTCGGACAATGGTGACACTTCATACTGGACGGGTTGTGTCCCCCGCGCGGTAAGGACCCCCTCTTCTTACCCCCCCCTTCCCTTTTATCTTTCCGTATAATCAGTTAAACTTATTGCAATCCACGAGTAATATGCATACACTACCTGAAATATATGAAAATTTGATGTTGCATTGCTATAAATTAATTAAGGAAATTTATTATAGACGTAAAATACCACATGAGATAAAAGCGAAAGAAAAAAAAATGAAATTTGATATTTAAAACTAAATAAAGAAAGAAAGATGTACATGATCACTTCAGTAAATTAAGAAACTTATCAAATCAAATTGATGAATAAAGGATTGTCAGTGTCAATGTCAAGAGTTTAAAGTTGTTGGATTGTTTTAAAATTTGTTTATTTTCATTTTAAACACCAATGTTGACTAAACAATCACCCACATTATAATGCTTCATTCATGAACACCAAAGTTGACAAGTAAACAACCCACACACTAGTTCTTCATTCCTGAGTTTACACGGTCACTTTTAAAAGTTGACAATAGTTAACAATTTTTTTGGTTTTACAATTTCCCACAATTTATTCTTTTTTCATCTTATCTACACCGTCAAACTATATACGATATATTGAAATTAATAAAATTCTTTAATCTGAGATTTGAGTTTAATTCTCCAGGGTTGTGTTTCCGTGGATACCTCGGGGCACTTCATTGGTAAAAGAACCAGTTATTACGACAAAGAAGTCATTTGTCAGCACTGTTGCTCCAGCGACCTTTGCAATTCTCAAGGATGCGGGGCACTCGGTATGTACACAATTAAGTCTGACGATCAATCCCCCCCACTCCTGATAAAACCTCCAGCACACGATTTTACGTTAGGTCGTGTTTGCATAAAATGTAGCACGATTTGACGTTAATCTAATCGAAGAGATTTGTTTAACAATATTCAGTTTTATCCATTAAATTTCAGGGATGCAACATTAAGTTTAGCGAACAAATTTAAAGAAAAGTGGTCCCCCGCTTTACTGTCTTAGTGGATAGAATGCCTTGTTGATTCTATGAAAGTTTATTTATATTAGTGAGGGTTATCTATCTTGAAGGGTGAATGAACCTTAATTAATACTCAAGAATCCCCTCCTACCCCCTCTCTCCCCGCTCGATTTATATATGAAAATATTTATGCATGGAAAGACATCTCCTCTCGCTGCAACTTGAATTTTAGTGTTACTCATATTACCAAAATTAATAAATATTCCCGGAGTATGAAGTTAGCAAAGTCAAAGAATTGTGCTCCCCCGCTTTCAGTGTCTTTGTGGGTAGGGTGTCATTTTTTTTTATGACATACTGTGTCACATCTTGTCACAGGTAATGCACATGTCAAATATGAAGACTCCATCTCTTCTCAATCAAAAGTTATTACGAAGTGAAACACTGATGACCCCATATGGCTAAATAGCGAAGATGAAACTTTTTTTAAAATGCAAATTAAATATATTGGTACCCAAAGTAGGGCCATCTCACAAGAAATACGATTGTGAAATACGAAAGCCCTAGCACCACCTGTTCTATAGTTATGGTCAAGGATAAGTTTTTGAAAGGTAGGTCAAACGCCAAGGCCAAAGGGTCAAAGTTGTTAGTTTATTAAGGAAGACCTTGCCACAAGTATTACATAGGTGAAGTATGAAAGCTCTTGTCCGAACTGTTCAAAAGTTATGGCCAAGGTTTAAGTTTTTAAAAAGTAGGACAAACTCCAAGGTCGGGGTCAAAGGGTCAAAGTTCTTTATATCCAATGAAAGGTCTTGTCACAAGTAAATACATATGTGAAGTATGAAAGCCCTTGACCGAACCGTTTTAGTAGGTCAAACTCCAAGGTTAAGGTCAAAGGGTCAAAGTTCTTGGTATCCAGTAAAAGGTCTTCTCACAAGGATTACATATCTGAAGTATGAAAGCCCTAACCCTTACGTTTGAAAAATATGGCCAAGGTTAATGTTTTTTCATAAGTACTTAAATCTCCAAGTCAAGGTCAAATGGTCAAAGTTGTTGGTATCCAATGAATGGTCTTACCAGAAAGAATACATATGTGAAATATAAAAGCCCTAGTTTCTGCCGATCAAAAGTTATCGCCAATGTAAAATGTCGGAATTTTTGTGTAAAAGTGGGTCAAACTCCAAGATCAAGGTCAAAGGGTCAAATTTGATGGAATGTCTTGCCACAAGTATTACATAAGTGAAGTATGAAAGCCCTTGCCCGAATAGTTCAAAAGTTATCGCCAAGGTTCAAATTTTTAAAAAGTAGGTCAAAGTCCAAGGTCAAGGTCAAAGCGTCAAAGGTTTTTATATCCAATGAAAGGTCTTGCAACACATATTACATATGTGAAGTATGAAAGCCCTTGCCTGAACGGTTCAAAAGTTATGGCCAAGGTTAAAGATTTTAAAAAGTAGGTCAAACTCCAAGGTCAGGGTCAAAAAGGTCAAAGTTGTTTTTATCCAATAAAATGTCTCACCACTAGGACTACATATGTGAAGTATGAAAGCCGTTCAAATATTATGGCTAAGGTTTTTTCATAAGTACTGAAATCTCCAAGGTCAAGGTCAAAAGGTAGAAGTTGTTGTTATCCATTAAGAAAGTCCTTGTCACAAAGAGTACATATGTGAAATATGAAAGCCCCAGTTTCTACTGGTCAAAATTTATGGTCAAAGTAAAAGTTTGGCATTTTTGTGTAAATGTGGGTCAAACTACAAGGTCAAATATGGTGGTACCCAAAGAAAGGTCTTGTCACAAGAAATATACATGTGAAATATGAAAGTCATAGCTCCACTAAATCAAAAGTTATGAGCAAGGTTAAAGTTTTTGTTACGGACGGGCAGACGAATGAGATTTAATGTCCCCTCGCTATCGCGAAAGCCGTGGTCAATAAATATATGTGTACACTAATTTTTTTTACACTTATTTATACCTGATAATGGGAATTTAGTTTTTTAAAGGATATCTACATGTATCGTAATATTTTACTGTGCTGGATATACAATTGTACTTATAAGTGCTATTTACAGTTTTTAAGAAAGGGGGATGGGGTAGGCCACGGGGTGTACGCCCCCTTTCTATCCGCTACTTTGAAACAAGAACAAAAAATAACGACATCTTGTATCTTATGTATTCCCTGTTATAGGTTACCCCACTGACCGCGGTCCACTTTGCTATGATTGCAAAAACTTAGCTGAGCCCGCCAGCTGCCACAAAATCGCCATCTGTAACCATAATGAGGTAGGCACCTGTCAAAATCGCCATCTGTAATCATAACGAGGTTAGCAACAGTCAAAATCTGATAAAAAAAATCTATCATTTTAAGAGCTGAATTAAAAAAAAGCTTGCACTCACGATAATTAGATTTACTTTATGTGCAATAAAACAATATAAGAACAAAAATAAATTTGTTCACCTTTATTCAAAATACGGATCATAGGACAATCCCCAGTTAAGCTTGGACTTTCAGTAAGGCGTGGCATTCTCGACGTTACATAATTAGCTTCTGAAATTTACACAATTGTTGAAATATACATAGGATAGAAATTCGGCCGAATGTCAACTGGTGTAGCAAATAGCCAAATAAATTAAAACTTCTCACACGGCACAGAGGCGAGACTTAACCTAACCCTAACCCTAACCTTGTCAACAACAATTAAAATTCCTTATGTTATTAATTAACAGATGAGAATCATTTGTTAATTTGACAGACGCAAATTACGTTGCGCCGAGAATGTCACGCCTTACTGGAAGAGTCCAAGCTTACCTGAGAACTGTACTAAGGGGGGGGGGGGGCTGGATCCCTCTCCCTCTAAATTCGACAGTGCAATATGTCGTATATAAGCATCTTTCTTTTTCAGAAATGTTACGTAGGGACCGAGGCTCACTTTGGACATCTTTACTACACCACACGCTGTGAAACAAGTCACGTGAGTACAGTAACCAATGGACTATTTTCAGTAGCCGGTTACTCGCTTACTTTACCGATCGAGTACCCAGTTACATGTATATTATTATTAATCGAATGCTTTTTCATTACACCTTATAAAATTAATTTACTTTCCCGCTTGCGATATACTAGTTGTAATTAACGTTTTATTCACAGTTTCTATTGAAGTTTCTATATTCTTATGAATGTACCGCAAGTAAACTCTAATTTCTAGTACAAACAAATTGATGTACATGTATAGTGTACACGTCGCCCGCGTGTACTCTCGAGTCGCGGATTAAGGAGCTAATCCTTACGTCGCGGGTTCGTATTTACTGCGGGACGTAGAGACCGGTCCTTCGGATGAGACCGAATAAACCGAGGTCTACTGTCGCAGTAGGTGCTGGCAGGAAAACGATCCTTCACTGCGTCTTGGCCGTCAGTATTAAGTAAAGGTGTATACAAGTAATGATAAAAATTTATAGCCCTCCACAAATTGTCTTCTCTACTTATGTACAGGCGATGTAAAATTAATATAAATCTGTAGGGCTGGGTATTGGCCAGAAATTTTGTATTGCGATATATTGCGATATTTTTTACTGTATTGCGATATGTATTGCAATATTTTCAAATTTTCGAAAAAACTACAATGGCATTTTCTCAGTATATTAACCATGTTAACTTTTATTTACATGCATAATGTACAAAATTATGAAAATTAACCAAAAGGAAAAAAATCATGTTGATTTTATTGAAGTTATGCTCTGAAATCCATAAAACAGCTTCTGTCTTACTGTTGGGCTAAATAACAAACCTTTCTTATATATTTTTTTATATTTGATGATTAAATTCCTGAGTCAAAGCATTTTGCCGATATATCGATATTACAAAAACGTACTACAATACGATATTTTTTTGTCACTGTATTGCAATATATTGAAATATTGATTTTTTTGCCCAGCCCTATAAATCTGTGTACCCAGTAGCATCTATGATTATGCTAACTGACACTCGCATCGTTCAATGGTTCACCGGTTAATCGGGTACTCGTTGACAACATGCCCGAAACCAATTATCTCCCTTTAGATTTGTTGGATGTAGGTGATACTAGGAAACATGCACTTCATGCATATGTAGATAATTCCCAGCCAAGACTAAGTGAGTCGGTTTATTTACATGTATAGGCCTGCACGTCCCTGGACCACGCCAATCCCCTGGGGAGGAGAGCCGTGGGTTGTAAGCATTGCTGTACAGGGGATCTCTGTAATGCCGGCTGCAAGGGATAAGGATCGACTCCCAAGGAGGTGAGCTGCATTCAGTATATTCTATTTATAGTTACAGAGCAGGACCGTATGAAGCAACCCCAGAAAGGAGGAGTACAACCTAAGGATAATTTTTGAAAACCTGAAAAAAATTCTTGAGAGGGTACAACAATATAAAATATTATTTGTTTTCTATTTCAAAGAATATACTAGCGGAATAATTCTTTGGTACAAAAACTAAAGATCAGCTTTATTATCGATATAAAACTTACATGTACATGTATACGGGAAAAGTCCTTGGAGCGAGGGCACGACTCCTAGCGGTGCCCCCTCCAACCCCGTTCCTACGGGCCTGCGGGTATAAAAGTATTCAATTTTGTTTCTGGCTAAATCAATATCACGAGTACTTTGAAAAGAGGAATCGTCAGATGCATTCAAAGTGTTGCTTTTTAGAGTGTGAATTAAATTTACTCCACTAATGAAGCTCTTTCATATGACATGAAGGTCAATGACCTTGTGACCTTGACTGCGACCTGTATTCTAAAAATAGCTTTTTCTGCGAACTTTAACCTTCGCCGTAACTTTTGAACCATGAAAGATAGAGACTTCATATTATGTATGCATACGCTACTAATTAAGTTCTTTCCAGTGATACCAAGGTCAATGACCTTGAGACCTTGACTGTGACTTTCATGCTAAAATAGCTTTTTTGAACCTTAACCATAATTTTTGAACCATGAGAGATTGAAACTTTATATTTGGTATGCATACTACACTAATCACTAATCAAGTTCTTTCATATTATACCAAGGTCAATGACCTTGTGACCTTGAGAGAAGGAGCAGGCCTTGGGGGCCATAAAACTTAGACGAACTCACTTTTGATCTCAGTCTCACGTGCACGTTTCCACTATATATTCCTTTGGTAAAAGTGAGACTGAGATCAAAAAATTGATTTCATCTAAGTTTTATGGCCGGGCCCAGGCCAGGAGGGAGAGAAAGACAGAGAGCGGTAGGGAGAGGGGGGAGTGGGTGAAAGGGGGCTGGAGGGATTATTAAAAATTAAATACATGTATGCCAAACTCTTTTATGATAAAGAAATATTATACATGTTCTAGCTGGTCTTGTTTAGTACTTTAACGTACGGTATTTTTTTTCTTATTATTTAGATTCATTGACGTACAAGAATTGCCATGGAAGATGTGTCATAATTTTCTTGTGAAAATTTATTGCAAGAATAAATGTGTATTTCAGTATTCAAAAATACCGTTTGCCTTTTTTTGCCTTAGGATCTCACGATGAGAGCAGCATGGGCATGTATAATTATACGATATATAATCAGCTTCAAAAAGACAGTTACGTGTACTGATACATAGATCTAGAATGTCTCGGATTTCAGAAAGAAATACTAGTAATTAATAATCGTAAATTAAAGCCTTTAAATCATGCCACTTTTTGAACAAAATCATCAGAAGCGTTCATTAGTACAATTTTCAGTTAACCTTAGACTTTCAATAGGGCGTGACTTTCTCGACACTATGAAATTAACGTCTCTTATATGGCAAATAGATTCTCATTGGTTAAGAGATCAATAACATCAGCAACTTCAAATTGTTTGCTTTATTTTTAGCTTTACGATCATTTTTTTAACTTATAAAAAAAGATAAACAAGAAACATAGCCAAGTCCCAGGACTGTTTGTTAGTCCGGGACGTCGGGCTTGAGGATTTTTGAACCCCTGTAGGGCGTGACTTTCTCGACACTATGACAACGATGAGACGATTTAAACCCGACCTCTCTGCCGTACGCAACACTATCATTGGATCATTGATACACTCGTTGACATTTGCCGGAATGTCTACCGGTTTTTCAACAGTGAATGAAAGTCTGTGTAAATTTCAGACGCTAATTATGTAACGTCGAGAAAACCACGCCTTACTAAAAGTCCAAGGATAACTGAGAATTGCACTAATTCTAGAATTATCTCAATAATTACAGTGTATTACAACTTAAAAATATCTTAAAACCTAATAAGGAATCAAACTCTGCTTAGATATAACTTATCATGTGTTTTATTCTTTTTTTATAGTCTGAATGATAAAACCTCCGTGTCATTCAGTTGCAAGTTGTGCTTCTTTATTAAGCATGTTTTGGATGGATTGAGTTCATTGCTCATAACTCACTACCTATAAGTAGGAGTTTTATAAGAGCAAGTTTCTGTCCATTCCATCGGAAAACTTAGTGAACTTACAAAAAAAAAATCCACTGATAAATTTAGATCAGTATTGAAAAAATTGGATCACCCCCTCCCCTTTCCATCGGCAAAATTACCCAGGGATACTAAATTACATCCTTTTATAATTATATAAAATTAATAACTTATATATTTTAGGGAATAACAAAAAAATCCTAGTAGTATATTGATATGACAGTCCTAAAAAAATTGAAAATTAATTCAAGACTCAAGCACAACATATTAAAACTAAAACTTGTACATCTTTACAGGAAGTAAATTGAAAAATCAAGGACGATTTCCGTATCAGTGTCAGCGACAGATGTTGTAGTGGATATCGATGAAGCAAATTAATCTACTCAACAACGGTGTTTCATAATTCCGTAATTGATACCCGATAACGGGATTTTTTTCAAGTTTTAATAAAGGTTACTAGTACTTGCTTTTACCTGACTCTAAAGTTTTACGAGATCTGATTAAAGAGTACAATAGTATTGTACGTATACATGTACGTACTTTTCAAAACAAGAACTGATAGAATACATCGACGTCCTGTCAAATGAATTTTAATTCAATTTTACATTTTTAATAAAAAAAAATCATTATTTGAAGTCGAATTCAGGTTTTAGAAATGGCCTCAAACATTGTCAGAACATAATGTCCTCGATAAAAGTTCATCTCTCAGACAACCCTAGCTCTTCCTTGATCAGTTCTTTAATAAACTGGAGTGATTTAAATCGTAAATCTTCTGTCTTAAACGTTTAATAAAAGAACGTTTAAGCGAAAAGGTAACGATGCTGTTAAGATAGAATTCCAATATAGGTACACACTTTAACGTTTTTATCTTCGGGAAATTTTTCAATGTTGCTCATATCTTAATATGTAGGATACTTATGGAAGGCCAAAATCCCTGTTTTGGTTTGATTATGCCTAAAAATACACAAATTTTCCATAAAAGAAAATTCTTAATCAAAAATATGTAATAACTGTCAAATTAATAGTTTTTAAAGCTACACGTACACATGTTTAAGACTAGGAAGTGTCCCTTTATATTACATGTGATTCTGTCAAAACTAGCTGATGACGTATTTCTACTTTACTTTATGATAGTGATTAAAGTTACCGAGGATATAAAGCATCTTAAAACCACTTATATAAACTCATGTAAATTACAAAAGAGATATGTGTATATAATACATATTTTTTTGATGAGAATATATTTTATTTTAAAATCACATACAAATAAATTCAAAATAAAAATTAAGACTTACTATAATTACTTAAATTATTGTGTATATGCAGGGAATTAATTTTGTTACACCACCATTTTTGCTCATTAAGGTCTTCCGTTTCCAACGGAAGACCTTCTACTGATTCTGATGATTAAGATTATTAGGGTCTTCCGCTTCCTTCGGAAGACCCTACTGTTATTCTACTGTTTCTTATTATTATTTTATTTTTTTTTTCCCGCTCGATTTTTGACAGGCGATTTCTCAAAGACCTTTGGACTGATTTTTATGAAACTTTCAGGTTAGATACCTTGTAATTAAACCTATTTACACCTGTTTTCAATTTTTTGATGCATGCCTTTAATTGTGAGTTATTGCCCTTTAATTGATAATTTTGATGTCTCGTTTCCACTAAAAATCTCAAGAACGACATAAGATATTTACACGAAAGTTGGAGAACTTGTAGCCAATACATTGTAGATGTGCAGAACGATAAAATTATAAGCTGATTACCTAAAGTTTGGAAGCTATAAAACGGCAAATTTTAGTAATTTTTTTTCTTGAATTTTTGCTACTTTTTGTGTAATAACTTTTGAACCGAGAATAATTTGGTAAGAAATATATAACAAAAGTTGTGTGTAATTACGAGAGCTTTCATATTAGATTAATGAAAAGGGGCTGGCCCCTATAATTAGGGGTTAATAGCTCATACACGTTTTTTCTGATAGCTAAAAATATTGGTATATTATGAAAAAGTTTGACTGAAATCATTTCGAACTTATAAAATCTTGTCATTTGATATAAAAAGAAATAAACTTCCAGCTATATTTAATTGTTTTTATATAAAAAAAAGTACATGTATGTGAGAAACCTTTCAGGAACAAGTTGTCTACTATAGCCAGCCAAACCTTTACTGCATACATGTGCACATTTTTAGTTGATGCATCTAAAAGATATAGGTTTGATTCGGTGTTTCTTTGTTTTCTTTTTATTCAAATAATTTTAAAATGTGATGATGTACACAACAATAATTAGTACCTAGTTTAGAGGATTTTTTCGCGCTTGTTTGTAAACAACGCGCGGCATTGTGGGAAATAGGAAGGTACTAAAGACGCGATGTACTAAACACTTATTTGACCTGATTCAAATTTGTCTGTAAATGTTCCAAACAATTGAATTTTTGTATAGCATATGCCTCGAAGTCATAAAGTCTGTACATAAGTAATTTAAAATACTCAATATTACCATTTAATTAAAAATTAAAACGTCAGGTAAATATCAGGTCTCTAGTATATCCCGTTTTTAGTGTGCCCCTTCGAGTCGACGTCGGACACATGTTTGTCATGGTTTACAAACTGAAAATAGAATGATACAATACAATACAATACAATACAATAATTTCTATAGCGCATTATAATAATGACACTCTAGTGCGCTTCACATTAAAATAGATATAAGCTTACAAACTGGCGAACAAATTACTTTAAAAAATACATGATACATATTTGTGCATAAAAATAGGATATCTAAAAGACTTTATGTGTACTAAAAGGCCATAAAAAATTACGTTGCGTGGGAGTCACTCTAAAAAAATTACAACTTATGAAACATTTTAAAAAATAATAATAATAAATATTAAAGGAACCTGTACTCGATCACTAGAGCACGAAATAAAAAATATTAAAAACTTTAAGATCAGTTCAGTGTCCTTTTACATTAGGTATATATATATATCACTATAAAAACAATATTTACATTCCCTCGTAAGCTCGTTCAAAGAGGTGAGTTTTGAGTCCTTTTTTAAAAGCGGAAACAGATTTGGAATTTTTAAGACACAGAGGGAGAGAGTTCCATAGTGAGGCGGCGGCGTAGTCAAATCGACGACTGCCGTACGTAACAGTTCTAACTTTAGGAACATCCAAAAGAAAAGAACACTGTGAACGCAAGGACCTGGAAGGAGAGTATATTTTGAGAAGCTCAGACAAGTAATTTGGAGCACGATTGTTCAATGCATTGTATACAAACAAAAGTATTTTATATTGACTTCTGTATTGGACAGGGAGCCAGTGGAGATCTTTCAAGATTGGGGTCACGTGATCAGATTTCCTGGTACGAGTTATCAGCCGCGCAGCAGTATTTTGGACTTTTTGCAGTTTATTCACAAGTTGCTTATTTATGCCATACATCAACGAGTTTGCATAATCGAGCCGGGAAGTCACAAGTGAATTTATCAAGGTTTTGCATGCGTCGTCAGTGATGTACGGACGGATGCGACCGATTTTCCGGATATTATTGAAGCATGTTCTAACTATTGAAGTGCAGTTTTTCTCCATACTTAGAGTCTGGTCGAAATAGGCTCCAAGGTTCTTCACAAAAGGAGAGTCACTAATTGAGCTCTCTCCAAAGACAAGATTGAATGTAGAAACGTCTTTTATTTTATGTTTTGGACAAAAGAACATCAATTCAGTCTTTTCATGATTTAATTTTAAAAGATTGGTGCACATCCATTGTTTTATGTCGACTAGACAAGCATTAAGAGAAGAGGCCACATTATTCAAGTCTTCGTTTGGCTCAATAACGAGATATATTTGGGTATCATCTGCATAGCAGTGATACCGCATTTTATGACGCTTGCATATATTTCCTATAGGTTTCGAAAACAAACAGTACAACCGGGGTCCAAGAACCGAGCCCTGAGGCACACCGATTTTAAGCGATTCCGCATTTGATAAGGTTGCACCTACCGAAACTCTCTGACTCCTGTCAGTTAAATAGGACTTTATCCAT